AGCGTAGTGTTGTGCAAATCTTAGTGTTGACCGATGGTGCGTGGCAAATGAGTCGATCAATCATTGCCTCTGCACTATTGTGATGTACCTACCAGGTGCAAAAGTTCATTGCAAACCTACCAATGTATGTAGCAAATCAAGTTATACCTTATTTTATTAGATTGTCAACCTTATTTTGTTCTGTGGTAAAGTTGAAAATAAAATGCAGATGTTTGATAATCTAGGATAGTTTGATATGCTGATGTCTAGTTATTGATAATATTTTTTAAGTATTTTTGTAAACACGTGCGAGCTTGTAACTACTGTGAAATTGTTTTGTTATTTTTTATAAGATGAGCCGGTAAACGAACAGACGGATCACTTGATGATAAGCAATCGGATGCATATGGACACCCGGAACACCAGAGCCGTTACAAGTGCGTTACCGGCTTTTGGGGATTAGGACTTTAAGGATTGTTGGGGATTCAGGGAATGGGGAGATGGGGGGGGCGTAATTGGGCCTCCCTCACACGATGAAACGCAACGGAACTGTTATTTCACGTCGGTTCTGTGTGACGCTGTGGTATACCCAGGTCGAGCCGGCCCATTCGTGCCAAAGCATGGCTCTTCCACACTTAGTTCTTGGTTTAGGTTGGCTTGTCAGTTGACTGGTAAGTGCTGAACTTAATATCTTGAGTTCTATCTCCGGGGAGGTAGAAAGGATGATGTTGAGTTTACTTTTCAGTGAATTAACTAAAATCTCGGGTTACTCACGTGAATATACTGAGAAAATATCTACTAGTTTCGAACCACAGAGGGGTCGACGTTGAGAGCTCACTCAGTGACGCGACGTCGCCGCGACCGCGCACGCTGCTCATGAGGAAGAACCCCTCTGTAGTTCGAAACTAGTAGAGCTTTTCTCAGTATATTCACGTGAGTAACCGGCGATTTTACTTAATTTAGTATGTCTCACGATAGTTCTTATAAAAACATACTTTTCAGTGATTGCAAGTAACACTACTTGTATGTTCTTAGTAGATATTGAAGATTGTATGTTTGCACTTTTTTGTTCGTTTGTTTGTTCACGTGCATTCTCTTTGTTACAACTCTACTGATGCTAAAAACTGTTTTACGGCTCTGATCAGTCTTGAAATATGTTTTATTGATCACAAACATACTCTGCAGCTATTGACATAATTTATCTTCGCTTCCATTTTATTGCACTGAGTCATTCGATCAAAACAAAAAATCAACAGTTGTATTAAATTCCTTAAATTTTATATTCACCCCAATATAATTGGGTAGTTTCCAGGGTAAGAAAATCAAAAATAGAATTATTCCATCAGTTAGATAATGAAATATCCAAGTGCTGAGAGAACTGTACGAAGCTGCGACTATGGCCGTCCAAGTACAAAATCAGCAGTCTGAACCTGCATGGAGGAGTGAGACAAGGGGATGTTATATCCCCCAAATTGTTCACAAATGCTATGGAGGATATGTTCAAGACACTGCATTGGAAAGAACGGGGCATAAACATAAACGGCAAGTATCTCTCACACTTGAGATTTGCAGATGATATCGTCATCGTGGCTGAAACCGTTCAGGACTTGCAATATATGCTGTGCAGCCTGGCTGATTCTTCCGCGCGCATTGGGCTCCGGATGAATTTGGACAAAACAAAAATAATGTTCAATGAACATGTCATTCCCGAGCCAATTGTTCTCAACGGGTCGCCTCTCGAAGTCGTTCAGGAATACATCTACCTAGGACAAACCCTGCAGTTTGGTAGGAACAGCTTCAAAAAGCAGGCCCGTAGAAGGATACAGCTTGGCTGGGCAGCATATAGAAAACTTAATCAAGTCTTCTCGTCTCACATACCGCAAAGCCTGAAGACAAAAGTCTCCAACGAGTGCGTCCTTACAGTAATGACATACGTAGCCGAGACGTGGACACTGACAGTGCGACTGGTCCACCAATTTAAGGTCGCGCAGCGAGCTATGGAGAGGGCTATGCTCGGAGTCTCTTTGAAGGATCGAATCCGAAACCAAAGTTATCGACATAGCCCAAAGGATCAGTAAGCTGAAGTGGCAGTGGGCCGGTCATATTTGTCGAAGAACCGATAACCGTTGGGGTAAACGTGTTCTAGAGTGGAGACCGCGTCTGGGCAAATGCAGTGTAGGGCGCCCTCCAGCTAGGTGGAGTGACGACATCTGCAAGGTGGCTGGCAGTGGTTGGATGAGAAGAGCTGAAGACCGAGCTCAGTGGCGTGCCATAGGAGAGGCCTATGTCCAGCAGTGGACCAATACAGGCTGATGATGATGAGATAATGAAAAAATATGAGACACGTATTTTTTTATTTTCTCGTATAAAGTTACAATACTTAGATAAAATGGAGTTAAGTTTAGGAGTGGGAGGTAGCGTGACGTCACACGACAAATCTATTGATTTGAAATGTCCTATATCATCGAAAGAGAAAAAATACGTATCTAATGCTTTAAAATAATCTACCAGACGGGCATTAAAATAAAATTTAGGAAACTAGCCTATCATCATTGACTACATAAGAAGCATTGTATACTGCTATAAATGGTTCATTAGAATACAGAGTATTGTTAAACATAGAAACATAGTAACTACATTTCATTATTTTAACATGGGACTTGGATGAACAATAGACTTGAAATATGAACATATATCCATCTGTGCCAACTAATAAACAATTTCAACAGCCTATAAGTGACCACTGCTGACCAAAGGCCTCTTCTCACACGGAGAAGGTTTGAGTATTAATCGCCACGCTTGCTCAATGCGGCGATTTCAAACTTACAATTAGAAGTTATTAAGCTTAGGTTTCCTCACGATATTGCCCTTTTTCGTTAAATAGTGGTGTCGAAATAATCTTAGAAAGTGTAATAACTCGAAAACGTCACATTGGTACTTGCTGTTGGTAAGTTTCGAACCCGCAGCCTCATGCATGAGAAGCGGGCGTCTTAAACCTCCGGGCCACCACGACTATCTAAAAAACTAACTATCGAATACTGAAAGGCTACTCAATTTTAACTTGTACTTAAATATCGTGCTATCTCTGTCATATACAAAGAATTTGTAGAGACAGAAATACACTTAAGCGCGACTTAAAATTGAATTGCCTTTCAGTATTCGGGTGTAACACTTGTTTTTTACCGTGTGAAACAAAGTATTTTCTTTCTATCTTAACATCTAAAATCCGAGCATAATTCACAAACAAAAATACCTCCATCAATACACTTCCACAAACAACCCTAAAAAAACTACACGCAAAAGTTAAACACCCCAAAAATGTCCTAAAGTAAAAGAAACAAGCTTCTTAACTTTCAAATCAAACAGACGCACCCTGTACATTGTTGACCAAACTTCACATGACCCGAATCACCGCTAACACGGGACCCCTGTTTATAACCAATAAAAATCACCCACAAGTCCGGCCCGGATATCAACCTTTCTCACCCTAAAAATTTAACAATACCAATTTTTCTTTCAAAGAAAAACAAAGGGAAATAACCCATATACGTTAAAGGTTAAAGTCCTAAGCAACTCCACGTGTATGGTTGTTTTATTCATCTCAATTTCAAGTGATTTGTTCCATATGTCGAGAACAAGTGAACTGGCTTCTTAACGCGCTGGACACCCTAAATTGAGGGTTTTTTGAGGGGAAATCGGCGGGTTTATTGGAATTTCCTACGGGTTTTCACACGTGGTGAGTGCCTTAGGGTAGAGATTTTGATCGGTTGTCGAAATATGTTTGGTTCAACACCTCGAATGAGTGGTGCGGAAATGTGAAGAAATTGACATGATGGGATCCAATTGAATATAATCGAGATGTATAGTATAGGTGCCAATATTACCCAAGTGGTCGTCAGTAAGGTTGTATGAAAACCTAAAGTTATTGGTGTGATTTTTTGGTACCTATAGGTACATATATTTATTAGTTTAAGGAAGAGTTAGGTATCTTTGTAACTTGTAGATCGGATACTTCGTAATGAGCTTATTGAAAAGAATGTGGTGACCATTCTTAACAATTTTATTTTATTTCATAGGACAAACAACATAACTATAATAAAGTTTTTTTATGGGATCACCTGATGGTTAGCAGTTGGCGTCGCCCATGGATACCTGTAACACCAGAGGTGTTCAAGTGTATTGGTATAAACATATAACATGTACCTCTTTTCACATTTATAAAGGAAAATACTAGTGTGAAAAATGTAGAACTTAAACTATAAAGCTAATCTAACACTCAAACATTTTTCTTCGCACAAAAAATATTTGGCGTAACATTATAGCCGTCAATAATTCATTCCATCCTCACATCAGCGCCCCCTAGCGGGCGGAAGCGGCTCAATTGGGCGGAAAGGCGGCTTGACCGCAGAGGTCGAGTGACCCTTCCCTTGCGCCTTTCAATCATAAGACCTTTTATAAGGGCGGCCTTTGAGGAGCTCCTTTGAAGAATTTGGAGAACTTTTGTACAATTATGTGGTTCTTAGAATTGGCTCGTGTAGGTTACAGGTCGGGTGTGTATCTTTGAAACTTAATTAATCCCGTTTTGTGAAGTTACAATTAACTCTTGGGAGAAACCAGGGTAATTGAGACCTGTTTGTAGCTTATAATTGTGTAATTAATCCAATTTCGGTATAAGGAATAAAACAGTGAATAATGAGCGACAAAATTTAATACAAACGTCAAAAAAATATCCTTCACTACACAAAAACATCATAATTATAAATGCACCACAAATTTTCACTGTCACCTCACACGGTCATATGCTTGTACTTTCTAAAGTTATCGGTAACAAGATTTCAATCCTATATTTGTATCTTCCTTCATTACATTAAACTGGCACCCGAACCATGCGGCCATCGGTCACGGTGGTAACGTTGGAAAAGGTACTTATTTTGATAAGTTCCTTTGAATATGTAGAAAAAAATTGAAAGAGCAATATTCATCTTCAAGTTCATGCATGCCTCATGGAAGGACGTTTAAGGTTACACAAAGGCCACTTTGACAACTGTCTGTAGCACTAACAATACGGTGACGAAGAATAATATTGTGGGCGGTATTGTCTTGCCTGCTTTGCCACTGGCTGCAGTCAGCGTGCGGGGTGCTATCACGGGCATCGCAAATGCCTGGTTGTTGCATCGGTTTAACTGTAAATTGAGAGATATTGTTAAAAAACATGTAAAGGAAAAAAATTAAACCGATGACTGGTATCCAAAGAATCCTAAATAAGATTTTCTCGTATATCTGTTCAGTGAACCACCACCTAAGTTTAGACGCCAGCATATCCTCCCGCTCTCAATTGAATAAGTTCAGCGATAATAGTTATGAAGTATTAGTTTTCAAAAATATTAACAATGTCAACTAAAATTGAACACCAGAAGCCAACGATTTAAAAATCTTGAAATTATTGACATCAAGGAGAAAACGAACCAATTGAAAACTGTTAGCACAGCAAGTTATAGAAACTTCAATGTATTTATGAATATGTTTTGAAGTAACATCTACACAAACAATTTGAACAAAGTACCTCGCAGCAAGTAGTCTCCGGTGAGCCAACACAGCCAGAGCGGCATCCTCGCACCACCGCTTCGTATGAGTTGCCTTTTGATATGACAGACGTAAAGCATTTGTCGTCCACACTGTGACATGTGATCGTGTGCACTCTGAAAATAACAAAAACTTAACTGAGTTGTTAACAACAGAAATAGGATTTGCAGGCTAGGAATTAGCGCTACCTTTCTCCGAAGCGGATAAAGTTCGGATGTCTCTTACTGAAGACAACAGGAGTGTACTTAGGCCTGAGAAATTTTCAATTTCGTTGGTATATTTAAAAATAAAGGAGCTCTAAATATATATTGCTGTTAAACAATAATACTTTTATTGTATCTGTAAATACACAATGATTAAAAGCCTGCATAATGGAACTATAATAGATTTCGTCTATTGAAATGAAAGTAAATCAAATCGGATCTTATCAAACTGTCTAGCTATCGCTGAACACATTTGGTAATTAATTACGACCGCTTTTTTAAACTCATCTCGTAACCCATGAATTAAGACATTTGTGAATATCATCACACCTTACTATTGGATAATAATTATTATTGCCAAACTTTTTAATTTTGCTGCGGTAGAATTTCAGATCAGATATCAATAGGAAGATTTTTACAGAGTAGGTATCAATCGTGTTCAGTTAAGAAACGACAAAATACCTGTATTTAGTCGGATCCAAGCACGCTCTCAACGGCGTCTCGGCTTTGTAAGCGCACACATAGCATTCGAGGGGCCGTTTTTTTACAGTTCTAGTGACAGTCAGTGCTTTAGGTGTTGGTACGATAGGTGGCGGTCGCCGTACTACTGTCACTCTTTCTCCTTTGTCCGCTGCAGCTGCAGAATCATCGTCTTCGTCATCTTCGTCATCCTCATCCTCCTCTTCACCTTCTTCATTTCTACTGCTTGAAGTCGAACTTTTTAAACTTTTATTTGATATAATTGTTATATCGTTTTAGTGGGTTGGAATATGGAAGGTAAGGAAGTATAGCGTTACATTTCTTACAGTCAGTTTCAGTTTTTGAATAATCAAATGTTACATCTACGTGATACATTAAAAATGGAGGTTGACCATAACATTAGCTTTAAATTTTTATCAGGAGCTTGAACTGTGAAACTGACCGTAAGTCAATCGAGGTTTGTACCTCGACTGACTGTAATCTTATAGACTACAATACATGGGAAGAGACATAGAATGCTAAGAAGCAAACAAACATGTTATTAATAAAATAATGAAATTAAGGTTATGAAGCTAAACTAGTGCTGATATCTTGGACGAAAAAAATGACTTTTATTTTTTTGTCTCAGCCACTTTTATAGTCTGTTTATGTCAACATGACAACCACATGACTGTCCACATCGGATGCCATTAGGCACATCAATATGATACGTTTCATGGATTTTTAAGACTCCGTATAGAAGGGGACACTCACTCTTCATCGAAGTCTTCAGTTTTCGCTGGTAGAAGGAGCAGCATTGCCAGCGCAATGCAATACCTCCACCGAACCATTTCACCACTTAAATCACCAGCTGGCCAAAACTAAACATCCACTAGACATTGAATTTGTCATTTTCCTTTTTTTAATAACCAAAAAATAATATATTATTGTGAGATGTGAAGTGACCAAGAATTTTGTAATTGACAGCTCACGACATCAGATTTTCGTGTTTGGAATTTTTTCTTTGTTTTTTTCTGGCGTTGTTTGAAGTATCTTGATTTTACCTCTTTATGTTTCCATAGATTTATTCTCGCTGTGGTAAATACTAAAGAAGGAAAGAAAATTAAAGAGGATCGTCATAAATCTTCAAAATATTTTGAGGTAGATGGAGATACAGTGCAAAAACATTAATTACATAGCTTCTGAATCTGGATAAGATGATGTCTACCTAATATGAAGGAAAACAATGAGAAACGATTAATTTTTCCATCTAAGATTCTTCAAATGTTAAGTTCTTATCACAGTGATACTACCAAAATCATGAGACAAAATACAAAAACAAATAACTTTCTTTGGACTACCATTTCACTACAGCGGGAGCGTTCATATCTCCCGTAATAATATAACAAAATGGACTCAATTGTGCCATCTGTTGTCAAAAAGTTGAACTAGCTACTCGCGGAGAGATGGCGCTGCACTAAATTAACCACACTTGTAAATGTGAAACTGCGGAAAAAATGTGTGAGTTTGTGATAATAATATGTAGGATAAAGGAGTATTTAAAAAAAAGTTTTAGGCTCCATCTAATGCAATACTTCTCTAAAATATTTTTCTTCAATAAAATTATTAGTTTTCTTTGGGCAGAGTTTTATGTGTTGAATAAGTTGCAAATCCGGACTTATAGAAAAGGTACCTACCTAAGTAGGGATCCCAATGCAACCAACATTTTAGTAATTATTTTAACTAATGAATAGGACATGTATAAGAACTATCATTATACAGAAATTTTCTTCTTGCAACTCTATTCACCTGTAATTTAGAATCAGGTCCATTGATCTCCTTTTTCCCTTCTTTCCAACCAATCATTATCTCATGGAAACCTCTTCTCCTTAAATATATTCCTCACATTATTTAGATCGTCCTCTTGTTTTCCAATTCAAACCAATGGTAAAAATTTATTTCAATTTTCTTATTGCTGTGGTCTACGCTGTTTCTGATACCGTTTTATTGCTTGGAACACCGGCCAGAGACTAGTCGTTATTAAAATATATGTATTTCATTTTTAAGTTCCACCTTAGATTCATTATTTGGTCCTTAAGTTCTGCTTTCTATCTGTCTTCATTTTTTTTATTTATGAGAAAAAATAAAATATTTCATGATAGTGATACATGTTAGACAATGTAACGCCACTATACTAAGTGGACTAGTATTCTGATTATAATAGTTTTAGATTATAATATTGGGAAATATCAAAGAGTACGTTAGGAGGCGGGGAGGGTCAAGATTTTTTTTATTGTGTGGGGATTATCATCCAATGACTTCTTCCGCTCGGGTTAGGGGAGGGAGTGTCAGACTCTTATTGACTAAGAACCACCTGTTCCTACTCCTGCACTTCGAGGAGACCCGGCAGTCCTTTAAGTCCTCCGCGGCTCCGTATCAGCATCAGCCCTATAGGGCCCCATCTGTGGTGGTCTAATGGCACTTTGAGGGGCGCGCGAAAGTAGTTAGGTACCTAAGATGCTTTAATGACTGAATAGTATACTTGACCAATATTAATATTGGTTTCGTTACATAAGCGCTAAATTAGAACATTTAATTTTACAATATTATGAACCATTTGCATTCTATTCTAGTGCCATTTTTACCGTTATATTTTTTAAATCAATTCGTGTTGGAATCTTGGTATGTATCAGTTGAGTTGTCCAAGTCATATTAAATAAATACTTGCTTTCCAAGTTAAATTAGACACAACTGAAATTTGTGAAAGAAAATATCGAGAAGAAACCTTCTAATGTTTAAATTGTGGGTTTGAAGTCTGAAATCACTTATCCGCCTTGAATAAGTGCGGTGACCAATGAGTTCAACTTTGTATAAGGAAAAGCCATCGTTTATCAAAAGTAAAGTTTATACATTGATATCGCTATTATCGCTATTAAGTATGTAGTGTAGAACCGATTGTATCACTAAATTATCATAGGTTACTAATGCCCGTTCTACAATTACCTACAGAGCCACCGGACTAGGCAGATTAGTAACTTCTGAATAATTTTCACTTGCATGAAGTTAATTCTATTGCATTCAATAATTTAAATTAAAATGATACAAAAAAGTCTTATATAAAATGAAATATGCAGTTTAGCAAAACAATAGGTATATTGCTCTGATTTGAGAGCCTTCAATCTTTAGTAGCTGACGTTGCTTCGATAGCTTAAATGATGCTGTAAACGCACATGTTTAAACATGAACATAGTGGTGTGGTTCAATGTTCCTATCAAAGAAATCTAGTATCTGTCACCAGCATGGCGGGAGGCACAAGCGTCCCGTCCTAATAACCTTTCCATCTGCGGTGCGCCATGAATAAGTGAACAGCAAGCCTTAATGTAACTCTTTCATGAACGCACACACGTGCGGCCTCCCTTTGCGTGGTGCGCGCTGCAGCTCTGAGCTTATCGGCCGCACAAAGCACCGCGCCGGGCAACCGCAATCCCCCACCGGGCCCCGAATACACGACCTCATTAAAAAATGAAACCTCACAAACATGCCATAAGCCCACAAAAACCCCCCAAGACTCGTCAAAGCGAAAAACGCTACCTACCGGAGAGTAGCGGAACTACGCCACTCGCGGAACCAACCTCTGTACTTTTTTAATTAGCCTCATACACTGAGTGAATGCGTGAAATACGTTAGATTTTTTTTCTCATACGCGGTTAGTTTGGTAGCTTTGAGTAAAGTATGTTAATTCACAAGTAGCCTGCTCTCGGTGCTTTTTGAACTGTTTAAAAAAAGGGTTCTGTGGATAAGGCTTATTTGATAACTTTGAGCTTTGAGGGGTTAATTAGCGAGAGAGAGAATTATGTAGAATAACTATAAGTGTGATTACGATGAAGGCATCGGGTGGTCGTCTAAGGCGGACAGGTGACGCGATGAAGCGGGCGTGGAAGCGTCCCGAAGCTCGGGGAAGTCTGAAACTTCTTTTATCTCAGTCTAGGTTCGCTCAAAAAGTGCAAACTCTGTACAAAGTTCACTTTCGCCTTGTGAACTAATTTTTCGCTCGGTGTCAAGTTCATGGCTGGGAGGCGGGGCGCTGGCGTGGGCCGCGGGGAGCGGGGCGCGCTATGATAAAATAAAATATTCATTATGATTGCTCAACGCGGCAATGTTCGCGAGAGCACGGGTAGTCCTGTTGGAGCGTCTTGGCCACTGAAGACGTTACGTTTTGTTTTTATGTTGGGAGTATATTCGTATGTATTGTAGTTTTTGGTCCATAGCTAAGTATTAGTTAGTCCTTTACGCTTGACTTAAAAATCGTTTTTGATATCAAATGGGAGTTTCTTATAAGAATTATTTTAACTCAGTCTTATAAGAGTAGGTCTGGTGAAGCTTCCAATAGCGTCAATCAGAATAAAATGTGTACTTATTCTCTTATGTGTTTTTTCTTTTTTCCATTATAAATTACAGTTACAAAATGGCCAAATATCTACAATAAGTAGAAAAACCCAACCTTAGGTCAATAATTAAGTACTTCATAATCACATCACGCAATAACTATATCTCCTATAATAACCTCGTTCTCTTGAAGTCAGTTAAAAGAAACATCACACACAACACTCGTCACCAAAATCCACCAACAACAACGGCCAATACAAATTTCGCCAACAATCTAAAAACGACTTCAAAACTGACGTAAAAATCGTCCCGGACCTGCCTCAAATGAAAGTAGATCGCGTCGGGTGACTGGCCGAGTTTTTCTCCCGTTTTTCCCTTAATTAGTCAGTTAATCCGAGGGGGGAGGGGGGAGACTCATTAACGTTCGACACTCGATTCTTAGTCCCCAACACTTGTTGAGTCCCGTTTTTATGATAAATACGATCCACGGATACAAGAATGAATGAACATTTTTTGTTTAGAGCACTTTTGAATTTGTTTATGAAATTGTGATTCGTTGAATCTGTTTTTCGTGGTTTATTGTAATTTAATGTTGATTGTGTTTGAGTTGTTTTGTTCGTGTTATTTAAGACTTTTCTTGTGTTCTTTTATTGCAGACAGTTTAGTTCTTTGGGCGCAAACAGTTAAGTGGTAATTACACAGACAATGTCATATTTCGTAAGGTAAGTAGAATCGGGACTGAGAAATTATGTCTAGTTAAATTTTTATGATAAGCTACGTGAGACATTCTAAATTAACTAAAAATCGCTGGTTACTGAGAAAAGCTCTACGAGTTTCGAGCCACACAGGGGCTCTTCCTTATGAGCGCTGCTCATGCACGGTTGCGGCGATGTCGCATAGCCTACTGAAACTAGTATTTCTCAGTATTTTTACGTCAGTAACCCGCGATTTTAGTTAAGTTATATTCTTGTTGTAAATGTTGAATGCAATTGCAACTTGCCTTGTCGACGGTTAGTGTATTACAAAATTTCTGAGAGAAATATATCGTGTTTACTAGCACCTTTGCACAATTTCTCAGACATCTGTTACATCTCATTCGTAATAGCGCTTTCAAGATCTGACATATATTGTGTATGTGTCTTAAATTACTGTCTTAAACACAAGCAAGCAATTATTTCCTAAAATGCAATGTGTATAAACCTCACCCTTTGCAACGTCTAACTAAACATTTCCTAATTTTGAATCTTCAGCAACGTAGTAACTAGCGTTGGCAAATGAGACTCACACGCTGAAACCGACCAATCTAACATGACCTATCACTGCCTTCAACATTCCCCTAATAGTTTAGTAAAATATATAGGTTAAAGGGGGGTGGGAGGTCTTGTTCGGGTGGTGTTGTCATGTACATAGTACATGGTGCTGTCAGCTTAACATCCAACTTATTAGACGTTTCGGAAATTCGGTT